GTGTTGTATTTTATTTAGAGACAGGGTCTCCCTGAGTGCTTAGTGCCTCGTTGTTGCTGAGGCGGGCTTTGAACTCACGATCCTCCTGCCTCAGCCTGCTGAGCTGCTGGGATTTCCAGCATGTGCCCCCGCGCCCGGCTCCAACAATCTACTTCTCATGAGCGGTTTCCCCCCACAGAGGCTGCACTCCTGGCACCTAGGATCCTGGAAACGGTCCCAGCACTCTGGCCTGGATGGTTCTGCATGGGAGACAGACACCTCGGTGACTCAGGTTACCTGCCAGAATGGAGGTGTGGACAGGAGGGCTGGGGCAGGAGTGCCAGGCAGGCTGGCCACGGAGGTGGATCTTGAAGAACGAACACACCAGCCAACCAAGGAGGTGGTGGGCAAGCTTTGGGGGCTACAGGAGCCTGGGAAAGAGCTTGGTGCCTGTAAAGCAAGCCACGATAGACAGCTGGGGCTGGGCTGCAGGCAGGGCCAGACCACGGGGAGAGAACTTCACTTTGGAGGGGGAAAAAGCCATTGAGGGCAGGTGAGGCAGAGCGCTGAGCCAGGTGCGCCCAAGGGCAGGAGGTCGTAACAGGAATCTCCTGGGAGGCCCCTGGGTGACTCCGAGACAAGGGGAAGAGAACAGGAGCAAAGGGCTGGGAAGAGGAGGAAGAATAGCCAGGAATGTCCATCCCTGATGGGCCCAGGAAACAGAAGGGATGGGGCAAAGTGGAGTTTATGGATGCTCTGTTCACCAAGGTGACTAGCTGAACTGGTTATTCTAAAGTAATGGGGAAAAAACCCTCACTATAATAGTGGTCTAAAGACAGAAGTCCAGCACACAGCCCCAGGTGGGTGAGGGTGGCTCCTTAAATCTCAGAGACCCAGATTCCTTCCACCTTATTGTTCTGACATTTTCAACACTCAGCCTTGACTGCATGGTCCAAAATGGTTGCTCCAAGTCCCACCGCCACATCCGTGTCCCACCTACTGGGAAAAGAAACAAGAATAAGGCGGGTAGTAGGTACACCTTTCCAAAGCTATGACTTAGATTTCCACTCATCCCATTGGTAGAACTTAGAGGCTACTGGAAGGGAGTCCAGGCTCAGCGAACACGCCTTTCAGGGACGGGAGTGTAGCTCATGAGTAGAGCACTTGTCCACCAAGCGTTTTGTTTTCCATAGTGGAAGAAGGGAGAATGGATCTTCCAGGGAGAACTTAAGATTCTACAAGCCCTTGGGCTTCTCTGAGCTTGGTGTTTCTCATTTGCAAACTACTGTAAATCGCAAGATTCTGTAAATTGTTATATTTATTTTTAACCAAATAAATGTTAAATATGATTAATTCTGGGCTGGGGTTGTGGCTCAAGCGGTAGCGCGCTCACCTGGCATGCACGGGGCGCTGGGTTCGATCCTCAGCACCACATAAAAATAAAATAAAGATGTTGTGTCCACTGAAAACTAAAAAAATAAATATTAAAAAAATTTCTCTCTCTCTCACTCTCTCTCTCTCTAAAAAAATATGAATAATTCCCTGCCAACAACACCCTGTGTTTTCCTGGGCAAGCCTGAGCCCCCCTGTTTGGACTTTGTTTTCCGAGCAATTGAAGATGTTGGAAACTAATCTTATCGGGACCCTCTGGGACCAGCTGCATGGACTCCAGGGTTGGTGACTCCCCTGTACCTCTACGTTCAACATGGGCACCGGTTTTCTTGGGACAGGGTTTATGGCTTTCTGTTTCCAGGTTGAACATGCAGGTTCCTGAGTTAAGAGGTTGAGAAGCCACAAAGGCCCTGCTCAGGGCTGCAGCACCCAATTCTATGGTCCCTTTGTATCTGCTTTGCCGTGGACACTTGGGAAGGAGCACGAGGGAAAGAAAAAGGCAATTGAAGGACTTTGGGGCGGGCAGATGGGGTGGCTCCAGGTCGCCCTGCAGTGCCCCTGGGTGTGGGTGTGGCCCGCCATGGCTGGCCGTCCCCTCTAGACCTGGCCCTGGCTGAGCTGGGATTTGGCCCGGCGCATGCCTGGCACGCTCTGCCCGACATCTCCCCTGCAGCCCCCGAAGCTGCAGCCAGGAGCCAGTTAGGGTTTCAGAGCACAGGCGAGCGGCTCTGTCTGGGCTGCCAGGTGAGAACAGAGCCCGCTTTAACGGGCGCTGCTCCTGGTATCGCCTTTCCCTTCCCGGCGATGGCTCCGACCAGGAGCAGACCTGTCTGTCTCCGGAGCCAGGGATTTGATACTGTCGTGAATGGGGGTTTTCATTCCCGAGTCGTCTGCCCTCCACGGCGCCTGCGGCCGGTGCCAGGCTTGGCTGGCAAGGTCCCCACTGTAGGGGGAGTGGGTGGGTGGCGGGGGGAGCGGCTCCGGGTTTGGGAACGCTGCTGCCGGCCAGGCTGGTGGGGAGCCCCGAGGGGGAACTTCCCCAGCGCTCACTGAAGAGCCGGGGTCCTCGGGAAGACACGCCATCTGCAATCAAGATGGCACAGAGCAGAGCTGGGAAGCAGGATTCGACCCAAGGGGAAGGGAGAAGAGAAACGCAGTATGGCCTTCAGGTCTCAGAGCACCCACAGGCACCTTGGAGCGGACGGAGGGGAGAAAGAAGGACCAGCCACCTTGGCTGCACCCGGGGGGTGGGGGGATCAGGAACAGAGGAGAAGAGCAGGCCTGGGCTCTGGTGGGGGAAGTGGCTAAGTGACAGGACGTGGGGTGCTGGGGGCCACGGAGCCGGGCATAGGCTGTGTCTTGGTGACAGAGCTGGCCTGTCACGTCCTTACTGCAGGACACCACCCTGCTTCATCAGCGCCTTCCCCTCTCCCTCTGCACAGGCAGGGCACCATGTTCTCACAGCCTTCACCTGTAGGTGTTCAACCAAGGACAGTGGCCAGCAGAACAAGGGGAAGAAAGGGACAGCTACAATTTCAAAGGACAGTGCATGCGGTCCTGAGTCCTGGCCACAAAGCACTCGCTTGTGCCTTCTCTGATGGAGTCCCCACAGGCCAGCAAGTTGGGGCAAGCTCTTCAAAACTCCATGGGCCCAAGGACAGTTCCAAGCTGTGCTGGACCTTGTGCTGGGCAGGGTGGACACGGAGGCAAGCGCACCTCTTTTCCTGCTCCCCAAGAGCTCACCGTGTGGTCAGGATGACACTGATATTTCCTTGGAATTTCCTGAAGGGCCTGCTGTCCGCTGCTAGGGACCTGATATTCATCTCTGAACCCTGTCCCACGGTATCCCTGGAGGGGGACTGAAGCACGATGGGAGGTCACAGACCCAGAGACGCTGAGGAACCTGCCCAGGACCACACAGCAGGGTGGTGTGGGAATGCAGTGTGAATCTCAGTCACGTCGGACTCCCTGGCCCGGGGCAAACCCACACTATTTTTCTCTGGGAGGGGCAGAGTAGAAGGCCCTTGGGGACGGCTTGAGGCTAGAAGGTGGACCTGGTCCAGGCCCTGGGAGTGGTTGTCAAGGCAACATTGCTCAGAGACTCCTGGTTGAATACACAAGACAAAGGTGTCACTGCAGAACAGCCGGGATGGTGCACAGGCGCCAGGCCCTGTGGGGAGCTCCGAGGTGAAAGAGTCGGGCTGCCCCCCAGCAGAAAGCAGGTGACAGTGTGTGGAGACCCCTTCCACAGGTGCCAAGACAGGCAGGCAAATCTCCGCTGCCACTTTGCAGGGTGACCTGAGGCAAGGACCAGAACCTCTTAGAACCTCCATTTCTTTAGTTGCAGGACGGAGCTGGGAGCAGCCTGCTGTCGGGCTGCCCTGGATCACAGAAGATGGTCACACTGAGCACAGGGACCAGCAGGAAGCAGGAGCTCAACACCAGCCAAACGTCACCGGGTCGGGTCCTTTCTCCACCCAGGGCCGAGTGGGGCGGCGGCTGTTTATAAACCATAGGAGAGGCTCAAAGACACGGCGTGGGATTCCCCCGTGGACAGGCTCAAGGAGGCTCCCGGATTTGCTTCTGTCACCTTCATAATGATCTTGTGGGGCTTTAAGTCCTGTTCACTCTGAATTTCTGGACGCACATTCCGCCTCCAGTGATACGGCATGAGTGAAGCAGGAATGTTCTGTCTGGCTCCAGCTCGGAGCTGCGGTATGACCGTCTCTCCTCCCCAGCCTGGCAGCGCTGGCTCCCAGAATTTCCATGGTGGACTCATAGCCAGTGGGGGCCCAGCAGCTCCTGCCCCACCTGGGCCCAGCTACCAGCCCCAGGGCTAGGACTTCCTGCTCCCCAGCCACCTTCCTGAGAGAGGGCAGAAAGAGTAACAGGCAACCCAGAGAGCCTCTGCCACCCTCTGAGCCACTGGGGAGAACAGGAGAAATACCTGGAGTGGGCCCAAGGGCTGGCTTGGCTCCATGGTTCTAGAGACGGGGAGGCCACTTGCCACCCTGGGTGCTGCTGCAGAGCCCACAGCCCTGAGCCTTCTCTGCAGGTCGCCTTATGCCTGAAGCTTCCTGGGCTCATGGCTGAGGGTGCTGGTTTTGCCCATGTGGCAGCCAACCTTCTACCAATGAGGTTCAAGTTGGTGAACCTGCACCGTGATTCTTTAGAGGGACAATCTGAGGTATGTCCTTACCCACTGCTGTCCTCAGATGGAGATGATCTACTCATGAATGCAGCCTTTAGCGACTAGTCTTGGTTCACTGTCTTGCTCCCCAAGTCCCCACGGTGCTTGTGGGCTGGGATCAAATCCTGCTTGCACCCAAATCCTCATCTCAGGGTCAGCTTTGGGGAGCCCAAATACAGTGCAGCACATAGCCTGGTCCCTCCTGTGCTGGGGGCCAGGAGGCCTGAGGTTGACTGTGTTGCTGCAGCCTCTTGGCTCTGCCTTCCAGCTCCTCCCTCCACCTGGCTTCCTCATCCACATCCCCAGCATCTGGGGAGAAGTTGGGGCTCTGTTGCTGCCCTGCGTTGTACACGGATCTTCTGCTCCCAATCATGGAGCCTCTTGTTGCATGGGAGGACCGGGAAGTGGGGAGGGTACACCACCGCTTTGGGCTGGCTTCTCGAGGAGCCACAGGGAGCGGCTCCCTCCAACCTCCTGTGAAATGGGCATGCTGGCTTTTTACGGGGGACTCTGTGGGGCAAGTGGAAGAGACTTGAGTCATCAGTTTCCTAAGACACCAACCACCAGCATCTGTGAGCCCTCCTGGGACTTGACGGGGTGATTTGCTTTCCGCGGCTCCGTCATCAGAGCCCTCGTCTCTGCCTGCTGGAGTTTGTCACGCTCTGGCTCTTCACAGGAAAACTGCCTAATGCCATGGCAAAAGCAAGGTAATAAAATATTCATCTGCTGCGACTGGAGGATGGAAGCTACGGTGTCTTCCAGGAGAAGTGGAGACCTAAATTAAAGACACGCACAGACACAGACAAAAGCACATGTCTGAGCAGCAGACCACCCCGGGGCACTCAGCACACGTGGGAGCCCCCCAGCCTCCACTTGCACAAAAGCATATGCCCGTATGCACACAGAGCACCTGCACACGCATGTGATCACACACCCGTGCACCATGTCAGCCTGTGCCACCCATGCATGCAGGCCACAGTGGGAATGCACCATGCATGCTGCACACACCTGGGAGATACTGACACACACACCCCCGTACCTATCCTCCATCACCGTAATTAAAAGTGACATCTTCCTAGCTGGTGTACCCGAGGCAGAAGAGCCCATCGTCACGACCCTGACTTCTGGACGAGAGTGGCCTGTCTGGTGTCCTGAGGAAGCTCTGCTCTGCCAGGCGGAAGGCAGCCACAGCACAGGGGGAGTCAGGGGAAGCGTGACTCAGAGGTGAGTTACACAACTGGGTTCTGCCCGTCTGTTCTGCCCAGGAGGGGGAGGATGAGGGAAGCTTGCAAATGTGAGAGTTGAAAGCTGCTGCACTTCTAGAAGCTTCCACGCTCTCCGACTAGTGGAGGCTGAGGCTCCCTGAGGGCAGCATGTGGAGGCTGCCGTGCTGTCACGAAGGCGTGCGCTTGAGTACACAGCCTTCCCTCAGAGGGAGGGGCTGCAGAGTGTCACCTCCTGCAGTTAGAACCTTGCATGGACCCACTCCTGCCAGGCTGGCCTGTTAGCCCCTGCAGGTCCCTCCTGCACCCAGCGCAGGCTGGCCCTGGCTTGTGACATGACTCCTAGTTGGCCTGCGTCTGCGAAGGTGGTCCTTCTCTGATTATTCTAGAAGCCCTGACTGAGCAGCTTACAGTGGGAAGACAGATGCTCAGATGTAAGGTTTTTGAAACTGCCCCAGCCCCCGGTTTCCCAAGATGCTGTTTTTTATATATCCATGCTGCTCATATCAACAGAGCATTGAGCAAGGGCTAGGGACCGGGGTGACAGAGCTGGCTGCCTGAAGCTTCTCACCATCTGTGAGGGAAGCTGACAAGGGCAGAGAGACCACTGTACCTCATGCCTGGAGGAAGGGACTCTAACTGGTCTGGAAGGTGAACTTGGCCAAAGAAAGAGGTCATGTGTGTATGTGGGTGGGTGGGTGGAGGTGGGAGGGTAGGAGAGTGTAGATGAGGAGGAGTAGAAATCTGAAACAGAAGAGCATTTCTGAATAGCAACTGACATAGAGGTTGGCAAACTACAGCCCCAGGGCCAAAGCTAGCCCACTTCTTGATTTTATAAATAAAGTTTTATTGAAACTCATCCATGTCAATTCAATTCCGTGTGGTCTCTGGCAAAGGTGAGAGTCAGAGCAGACTATTTGCAGGACGGCCCTCAAAGCCTCAAATATTTACTGAATCTCTACATGGAAAACATTTGCCCACCGTCAGTGAATTCTGGGACTCACTGTCGAACTCCCAAACCAATCAAAAAAAATATCTAGAGCCCGCTGTGTCCATCTAGGATCCAGTATGGTTTTCTAGAGCTCCCTGGAAGAGTGACATTTGTGTTGGGATTTAGAAGTTTACAGTGAGCTTTTGCATCAATTATCCCTTTTAATCCTCCAACAAGCCTGTGTGAGGTTAATGGTAATTTTATCCCAATTTTGCAGACGAAAAAAGCTAAGACAAAGGGAAACTAAGGGGCTTGCTGAGGACCACATGGCAGGGAGATAGCCGAGCCCTGGCAGCCAGGCGACATTCCACGCTCTTTCCACCACATTATCCCACAGATGTTTCTCCGTCACACATTCCACTACTTAGCTGCCCCCGCCCGGTCCCCCCAGTCCACTTCTCCCCGCACCTTCCCAACATCCCCGCTGCTGCCACTGAGGAAGGCTTTTGTCCACTGTGCTCCAGAGGCGCCTCAGATTTCCTCCCTGCATCTGTTTGCGGTGCCCGCGCTCCCTGGGATGCTAACCAACAGTGACAGATGATCTCAATTGGCTGGCGCATGTGAAGAGCCACTGGACCAGGTAATTCCAATCTACCTCCTCAGAACTCCATCCAGGAGGGAGCCTGGGGTGGCTGTGATGGCCCTGCTGGGGACCGCTGGGGTTTCTCTTCAGGACCTGTGAAAAGGACTGCTGTGCCTCTCCGGGCGGGGCAGGGGAAGGACCCTGAGTGACCCCTTCAGAACACAAAGCTTGCAAAGCCCTTGCTGGCCGATGTTCCCAGCAGCCACTCTTAATGGAATTACATCCCACTTATTAGATACGAGGACCCGGGACGTGGATGTTACATCAGGCCCATTCTGCAGGCCCCGCCCCCTGCTACACACGCATCCGCACACTCATTTCCTGCAGCTCTGTGTGCTGCTAACTGGAGCTCGGCACGCTGTGGGTAACACACTCAGCTCGATAAAATATAATATACGACGGGATCATATTTAACAAGGAAAACAGGGCCCGAATGGACAGAGGAGCAGTGTGGCTGGGTTGCCATGGAAACCCCTTGTTCGGAATTTCCTGACTCCTAGGAGATTACATTTTCAACCTTAATGCTGTATTAACATAAGCTTTGGCACTTAATGTCTCTGTTTTTCACCTCCCCTCTCTCCCTTGCTCACAGGCAAAAGAAAGCAGCAACGGAGATGAGCCAGGGAGGAGGAGAGAGGCTGCGCTCTCGCTCTCTCGTGATCCAGCTAAAACCAGCTGCCGCACCAGGGCGAGGTGCTCTGCAGTTTTCAAAGCACATCACATCCATTATCTCCCATGACCCATAGACAGGCCTGCCACGGCGGCTGGTGCGAGGTCGCCAAGCCCTATGCACGCTGCCCCCAAATGCCTCTTGCATCTATTCCTTCCTCTTCCATCACATGCCACGGCCCTTATCATCTCTCACGGGGTTGTTGCAATAGCTCCTCGCCTGTCTCCTCACTCCTAGCCTCTGCCCTCGTCCCCTCCTGCTGCCTGAGTGATCTTTCTGTACTGCGAATTCATTCACCCTACCCTTGGCTTCACAGCCTCCACCAGGGCCCCAGCAGAGGCAGAATGAAGGCCAGGTCCTCTGCACTCCAGGACGGCGGCCTCACTCTACAAACCCCCCTCTGGTAGTTCCCACCACACCCCACCTGCCCTGCAGGCCTGTGGAGTGATAATGAGCTTTCTGAATTCATGGAAGCCTTTCAGAGGCCTGACCTTGAGCTCTGCCTGGACCTGTGGGTTCTTCTGTCCTCCTGATATCTCAGCTTCCTCTAAGGCTCAGCATCATCTAGACTGGGGTATGTCTGGGGGGCTGCCTGCCTACCTAGCACCGGTGGTGTTTGTACCAGATGCAGTTGTGACTTTACATCCTCCAGCACACCAAGATCTTGCCCAACCTGGGGGCCGTGCCCTTCCCGTGCTGTATCCCTGATGCCCAGTGAGATTCTGGAACCTAGTACATGGTCAGTTGGTGTTTGTGAAATTGAGTTTCCAGGTGAGGACACCGAGGCTCAGTGAGGTCAAGTGAACTGAATGCCCCTGCCAGGAAAGAAGTCCCATGAGGTCTCCTCCAGTCCCTGCCCCTCCACACCTCTCTGCAGGCTCTGGGACCCCAGGGCCACCATAACCAGCCTCTGTCGGTTTCCATCACGATGAAGGATTTTTTTCTTCTTCTCCAAACCTTTGCTTCTCTCATCCTCCGCCCCTGGTGCTCCCTGCCTTTGGAGCAGCCAGGGACTTTGGGAAGCCTTGGTCTGGAAGAAGCCTTGGAGACAGTCAGAGACACCATGGGAGAACCCATGTTCTTCCTTCCCATCAGGTTTGTAGCTTCTTTTTACAATGATGTTCTCAAGGTCTCCAAGGATAGCCACTCCACTCATCGAAGCAAGCTCATGCTTTGGAATTGGATGGTGAGGACCCAGGGAGCCACGGTGAAGGCCAGAATCCTCACTCTCACAACCAGCACACTGCGTTGGACGATGCCTCTGCCCACAGTTACGTCCCCCGCAGAACAGAGGCTCTTTGCAGATATAATGGATGTGAGTCTTGAGATGAGCTCATCCCAGAGAAGAGTGGGCCCAGATTCAGTGACAAGTGTCTTTATGAGAGACAGGAAGGAGAAGGCCCACGGGCAGAGCAGATGAGCCCAGATGATCCATGTGAGGACAGGCAGAGGCTGGAGTGAGGTACCCATGAGGCAAGTGGCCCCAAGGGAGACTGGAGCCACCAGAAGCTGGGAGGTGGCTGGTGTGGACTCTCCCCAGAGACTGCCGGAGCCCATGGCTGACACCTCGACTTCAGTCGGCTGCCTTCTAGGACTGTGTTTTAAGATAACCAGCTTGTGATCTCTTGTTACCTTGACAGCCCTTGCAAACAAATAGAGCCAGGCATCATGAGAATCTGGGGAGGCCCCGTAGGGCTGCAGGATGCCAGAGTATGAGGACAGGGTGACCTTTCTCCTTCCATTATGTGGGGGGCCCCCTGCTCCCACCTCAGCACTCCATCTCCTTGCAGTCTCTGCGTGGACCTCAAGCTGCCTGCCACCAGACTGCCTGCTCCCCTCTCCTCTGCGTGTCTCGGTCTCAGGCCCACCAGTGGCTCTGCAGCCTGAGCTCCCCACGTCCCTCACGGCTTTCCACATCAGTCCGTCAACTCTCACCTCCTTCAGCTCCTCTAAGAGAGATGATGCAGTGTTTTAGGAACTGCTGTTATTCCACATGGACATGGCCTTTACATCAGGCCACCTCCTGGGCAGCAGGCCTGGTCAGGTTCCTCACTGGTCTTGCTGGCTGTGTTGAGGTAGGTATAGGCCACGTGTTCAGAATCACCAGGAAGGAGGCTCGGAGAGGTGGGACAGGTAATGGGGACACTCCCTGCCAGGACAGTGGGGTTCTTCACTGTTAAGACTCAACTTCTTGCAGACTTAAATAATATAAGTAAGACACAAAGAGGGAAAGGGGAGAAGCAATTTTTTTTTTCTAATGTAAGAAGGAAATTTCATACTTCAAAAAACTGTAGGACGCTGCCTTTACAGGCTGCTCCCAAGTGCTCATTGTTTTGGGTCAGTGTGACCCACTGTGTCCATTTAGGGACATGAAGGGTGGGCAGGGAGAGGCTGGCAGGAGAAGCTAGGCTGCCAGGGCCATGGCAGAGCAGAGGTCAGTCTGTGTACCAGGGGTGATGGCAGAGGACCTGAGACAGTGGACCTGGGTTCAGTTGGCTGCTCACACCATAACCCCACTCCCTGGACGCCTCCCTTGGGCAGCTCCGTGCTGGAGATGCAGTACAGACCTCTCTTCATTCACTTTTCCCCAGGCCCAGGGGTGAGGGCTAGGGTCATGCTTGTTGCAGGCATCAGGGACCAAAGGTGAAAACCCAAGGTCACGGGACAAGTAAGTGGTAGAGTCAGCACTTGAACTCAGGTCAATAGGGCCCAGAGACGTGAGCCAAATGTGCTTTGAGATCTTAGAGTGGATCCCAGAGTACAGGGAAGATACCCAAGAAGATGTGACAGGGACAATTGGTGACATTTGCATATGGAGTCCAGATGATATGATAGTATTGTATCAATGCTAAATTTCCTGATTTTGATAACCATACTATGAAAAATAGAAAAGGGTCTTGTTTCCAAGAAATGAATCCCAAAGATGAATAGGATAGCTGGGCACATACACCCGTACTCCCAGCAACTCAGGAGACTGAGGCAGGAGGATTGCAAGTTCAAGGTCAATTTTGGCAACTTGAAGAGACTGTTTCAGAATAATATAAAAAGAGCTGGGGATATAGCTTAGTGGTAGATTGGCCCTGGCTTCCATCTCTAGCACCCATCTCTAGCACCAATAAACAAACAAATAAATAGATAGGAACAATGTCTTCAACTTTCAAAAGTTCAGTTAAAACATAGGGATTGATAAAACAAATCAGACAAAAATCTAAGCAGCTGGTGAGCCTGGGTGAAGAGTAAGCAGGGGATCTTTGACTATTCTTGCCACGCTATGTATTTAAAACTGTATCGAAGTCAAAACTGCAAAATAAGAAAAGCAAAGTCCTAGTTCTTTTTATCTTTTTAAAATCAGCTTTATAGAGAAATAATTGCCACACAATAAACTGAAAATGTATGCTTCGATAAGTTTTGACATCTGTCTACACCCATGAATCTGTCACCATAGTCAAGACAGTGAACATATCTCCCATACCTAAATGTCTCCTTCTGCTCCTTTATGACACCTCCCTGTCATCACTTCCCACTCCTCATCCCCAGGCAACAGCATTCTCTTCTTATAGATTAGGTTGCATGTCCTAGATTTGCATATGACACTATTTAAGTGTCATAAAGTATGTACCCTTTTTGACTGGCTTCTTTCACTTAGGATTGTTAGTCTGAAATTCATGCACATTGTAACATGTATCACCGGTTCATTCCTTCTTATTGCTTAATAGTATTCCACTGAATGGATATACCACAGTTTCTTATCTATTCCTCTGCCAGTGGACACTCAGGTTGTTTCCACACTTTGGTAATCATGAATAAAGCATCTATGAAGAATAAAGAATATTCCTGTAATGAGTCATTGCATGGACATAGCATTTCATTTTTCTTCCCAGAAATAGAATGGCTCAATTATGTAATAGATCTGTGTTAATTTGTTAATAAACAGCACAGCTATCTTCCAAAGCACTTATACTACTAGCAGTGTGTGAGCACTCTCGTGTCTGCACATTTCTGTGCCAGTGTGGATTGCCTTGACATTGCAATCGTTTTTGACTTCCATCATTCTAGTTGTGTACTGCGGGTTCTATTGCATTTTCCTAGTGACTGACATTACTGATGTGAACATCATTCCATGCCCTCTCTTTTATTTCCTGAAGCCTTGAGCCACTCTAGGTAAGAGACACATGGGGTAAACCTGGGCAGCTCAGGGATTATGGCCTTGCAGCTGCCCCAAAGTGAAGACTCATGTCCCCAACAGAGAACAGCAGAGTGAATGGGCCCAGGTGGAGACTGCAGCCTCAACCTGAGAGCTCAGATACTTGCAGACCAAGGTGCAAGAACTCAGATGCAGAGACCGCCCTTTGGATAGGGTGCCCAGCAGCTTGGTGGTCAACTCCAGGCATTTCTACAGGAAATGAGCACATAAGACACATCAGGTCCTGACCATAGGCCTTCATCCATTTGCTTAACAAGCAGCAGCTACCTCCTAGGTGCCCAGTTCTGTGACCGGCATGCATCTTTGATGGTCTTTGATTGGTCCTTAGGTTATGGGCAAACTAAAGGGTACGGCTAAATCTTCTAAGTGTGACGTTCAAGGTCTCTCTTGAGCAGGTTTCTTAACCTGGGTTTTCCCACTATACCCTTCCACCTGGTCTGTGCTCTAGCTATAGCAAATGTCCAAGTGTCCCAGACCTGCCAGCTCCTTCCTGCCCCTTCACCTTGATCTTCCCACATGCTTCATCCTCTTTTGGATGGTGGAGATCTTCTCACTAAGCCAAAGCACCAAGCCTCCCTGGAGCCTTCTAGATCCCCACAGGAAGAGTGTATGGTGCAAGGTCAGGCCCTGCACCCCACATGCGGTTCACAGAGGTAGTGGGTTGTAGGATCCTAGAGGCCAGGAGGTTATCTCTCTCACACAAAACACACGCACACACATACACACACACACACTCTCCTAGACATCTTGCAACATCAGTTGAATTCACTGCCATGTCTCTGCCACTGCATTTGGGGACTAGGAACACCACATGTGGTCCACAAATCACTCCCAATGCTGGAGGTGGCACCTGGCACATTTGAGGAAGTTAAATACCTTTGCCACCCTGCCCATCATTACCTGCAAGAGTCATAATCGTTGTGTGAACACATGGCCCAGGAGATAAACACTATAACCAATTAGTTTCTCAGGGTGCGCCATCTTAACCCGCCAAACTCCACAAGACACGAGCTGGTCCTAGAAGCTTCTGTTCTTTTCTTTCTTTGCTCTTTTTTTTTTTCCCCTGTTCCGACAGCACTTACCCATCTGTACTTTCACGACAGAGCTATTCCCACTGGAAATGCCGTGAAACCTTTCAAATAAAATATTTAACGTGTGGATCCGGTAATTTTATGTTGTGAGTTATGAAACCTTTATTTGGGTCCCACCTTTTATTAAACCTCAGGGTTCTGCTTTGGTCTCTAATGACATTATGTTCCATCAGAATTAGACTTTCTTTTTTTTTTTTTTTTTTTTTTTACAGGGGGCTGTATTATTTGTTGTGACTCGGTAATGCTAATGTTTAAATTTTGAGTCCTTTTACTGCTGATTAAACCTCTAAAGACTACAGCAGAATTTCCGCTTCACTGCTAGAAGAAAAGAAGACGGCGCGGCTTGTGTTGGGGAGATCACTTGAAGAATGTGCAGGGAAGGTTGCTGCATTTATGAATAAAGCGAGGCATTATCATTTTTAATAGGAATTAAACAGCTAGAGGGAGAAGTCGGCAATGCTGCGATCAGTGCAAAGGAAAACAATCTAACAATTTTAATTAACTGTATTTTAATAGCTTTAGTTATAATTGAATAATTTAAATACCAAGGGAAACAGTTAAATCTCCTAAAAGCCTTTTTTTATTTACATTTTAAATACAGTTCATGGTGAAGAGATGACAGTGTGTGTGCTGGGGGAGCTGCCGGGGTGAGTCCCGCAGCTGGGCAAGCTTGGGAGAGGCAGGTCAGAACCCAGGCGAACACGGGGCAGGGCTCACGGGCCCCGCCACCGCAGCTGGCAGGGACCAGGGGACAGCCCTGGCAGCCAGGAGGTCTCTGTCTGTCCAGAGCTGCCAGCACATCTGATATCACAGCCCCCCAAGCACGTGGGACCTGGAGGGAGACTGGATACTCAGTGTTCAAGCAATATTTACTGCAAGCCTTTGGAACCACCACAGGGACAGTAATAAACTAGCAGCAGTAACAGCGGACACTTGCTGAGGGCTCTGGAATGTCCAGGGCTGAAAGTTGGTGGTAAGTGAGAAGGGGAGGTGATCTCCACCCTCTGAGAGTTTTTCAACTGGAGGGAGAGACGGACAACAAAGAGAGGAACTGCCAAAGAAACTAAGTCCATCTAAATCATGACACGAGGCTTCATCAGAACCCAACACAATGCTGAGATAGAAGATTCTGGGCTAGGGATGGTCCCTTTCTGGAGTTGCCACTTAGGTGGAGGCTTTGAGAAGAGCAAGATGGGGCTGACCTGGAAGCCTTGGGAAGGCAGCGCTTTCCTGCCACAGAGAGCGGCAGGAGCAAAGGGTGGGTGAAGTCATGGCAGCCTTAAAGGTCCCAAGAGGAGCTAATTGGAGAACAGGGAGGAGAGGAGGGCAGTACAGGTGAGGTGAGGAGCCCAACAAGGTATGCTGGGCTGGGGGCAGCCTATGGAAGATTTCAAATCATGGGTGATGCAATGGGATGAGTGATTTTAAAAGATCTTGCTGCTGTTTTCCTAAGCCTTGGGCTGGCGTGTGACCTCGGTTCTCATTTGACCCCTCTGGGCCTGCCCGGGACTACTTGGATCTATAGCCCCAACTACTTCTACTTCTCACCCCCACCCCATGCCTGCAGCCCCTGAGTCAGAGTTCCTAATGCTCTGCACACACAGCCCATCTGAGACAGGGCCTTTTGCTCCTCATCCCTGGGTGCTGATTGGGGCCTGGTTTAGAACTGGCCATCTCCCAGTCTCTGCCAACTCTCAAATCCTAGCCGAACCTGTTACCTCCCCAACTCCAAAGAACACCACTAGCCCAAGACTCTTGCTACTGCACATCTACCCCTTGGCCAGGGCCAGTAAAGCCCATGGGCCACTGTGTACCTACCAACAACAACCTTCTTGGAGACCAGCCCTACTGCCTACTCTGCACCCCTTCTTCCCTTTCTCATTCACCTGCTGAGAAAACCCCCTGGGACCTTGCCGCCATGCCCTGCAGGGGCCTGAGAATCTCTAGCAGACGGTTTGGGAGAGCGAAACAGTCACCATGTGCAAAGACAGGACCCCCAGTGGTGAAGATTCACGCTGCAGGGAGCCATGGGGTCACAGCAGATGCTGCTAATGGACAGTGCTTTGGATTGCGTCCCTCTGCATTAGGACCTGGCCACTCCCCCACATCTGCGCTGTCCTATGAAGCCCCTGTCCTCTCCTGCTGGGGGAAGGCTGGGCTGTCTCACTAATGGGGACCCCAGCCAGCTAGGAGAACAGCAGGGGAAGCTGCAGGATGAGCAGCTCATTTCTTCCCTTCAGGAACCTCTCAGGCTCTCTAAAGGGCTTCACGCAGGAGGGTGGAGCCGAGACTCCAGTCTGCCTCAGTGAATTCATTCTCCAAATCATGCAGACAATACCCATCTCAAGGCAGGCTGTGCAGGGTGAAGAAAACTTCCGTGGACAGAGTTGGGCAAAACTGTCTGTAGTTAGGAGTGAAAACGACTGCACACTGAGTGTGACCGTGTGCCCAGCACTCTGCTTTCAAGCCTGGGGACAGCACTGGGAACAGAGAGCACCATCACCCATGCTTCACAGAGAGGGAACCCGGAACAGGGGCTTACCTGCTCCCCCGAGGTGCACACCGGATGCAGGGCAGACCGGGTGTGCTCTGTCTGGTTCTTAACCACCCTGCTTTGACACACTCTGGCCCAGTCCTTGCCTGACCCTGACCGCCTGGGGGTACTGAGCAGCCCTACACCATTTGCACTTGCTCTTTTTCCCACAAATGCTCACCCCTTGCCACCTCTGCCTGCCATCAATCTTATTTTACAGATGATGAAATGGAT